AGACCAAAAGTGCTGAGCTCTGATTTATTCCAGGATTTAAGGATTTAATCTACAAACCCTTAACCTTTTGTGTGCAGAGAACAAATCGTCTCTGTTACAACTGCACTGGGACTCTGTTGCAGTTCACCTTCATTTCATTTCCTTTAGAAGGTGCTCAAACTGTTAAACTGTCATTGCATAGTCAATGAATAACATGACAGTACTTACAGAGCCCACATCCTATGTTTTTCATGTAGTTTATCATTTTTCTTAAGTTCTACATATGACAGCTGAGTGTGCTTGTGTAGCAAAAACATTTATAATTAATTTTACATGACCATTTTCTGTCCTTCCTTTATCCCTTGGAATTAAACAGGCTGTTTTTTTGTTTTCTGGTTGTTTCTGATTGCGTGGAGTTGTGCCTCATTTAAAAAGCAGTCTGGGCTGAAACACTCTTTACAACTGTAGCATGTATGCTGTAGGCTGAATAGGCAGATATATGTAAATGAGTTTGTTTTTGTGACATCACAAAAACAATATGTTCAAAAATGGATGTTTATAAGGAACCTATGGACTAGGAAGTGAATGGTTTGTTTTGAAACTGTAAGTGTTGATACTCCATCAAACTTTTTTTCCCAAAAATGTGGGAAAAAGCAGTTTTTGATGACATGGGCCCTTTGAAGTGCTTAAGTTCACAAAATAAAAAAAAAACATTGCACAGCAAGTCTTTAACAATACAATACTTTTTTTAACTTAAGATTTGCTCCTTTTTTCATTTTATATCATTTCAGTTCCTTCATAATTAACTTGAAATGTCATTTGTTACAAAGATCTGAACAGTTTGACTTTGACAGCTCACTGGTAGCTAATCCTTCCCCTTGTTAGTGTTACACGGGTCCTTTGTGTTGAATTCCTCATGTTCCCTGGTGTCTGTCTCACTGTCAGAAGGGTAGCTCAGGAGCTACACGAGAAGCTGCTACACTTGTAATCTGAATCTGTCCAGCCGCTGTCCAGCCAGACTCCAGAAATGATCCCCTCTGCAGATGCCCCTGTCTGACATAGCTGTCCATCGGCACATCGTTAAATGAAGACGCTGTGCTCGTTAAGTGAGCCGGCAGCCGCTCCAGCAGCCCTCAGAGGCACCGCTCTGTTTGAGCGAGGTGCTCCTGAGCAAACACTCGCACAGACCATCTCTCTCACGTGCGTACGGCCACATTAATGACTCGTTCAGTAACCGGGCCTGTTGCTGTGGCAACATACGCTGGGCTTTGGCAGAGGGGAGCCAGGGCCTGCTTGCCCAGTGGCCACATGATTTCTCGTCTGATCCTGGAGCTGTTGACAGAGACCCTGTCAGCATGTTCATTAGTGTAATCTGGGAGCATCCCCTAAAGCCAAGTGCACACTGGCCATGGATAATTGACTGTCCACTCTGGCTGACCGCAGCCCCCGGGGGATCTAACAAACTGGTCCAGGTGGCTCCTTTATTTCCCACGCTCTAGATTAGCCTGATTTCAGGCGAGCCTGGCTTTGCGCTAGTTCACCTAGCCAGCATCTGAAAGACAGAACATTTCTGAGCAAGCAGCTTGGCTTACTCTCACTGGTGGCACTTTTGTGGGCACACAGCAGTTGGCATTGTGAATTGGAGACAGCTCTGCCCATCCTCCAAGGCATAGTAAGGAGTGTTACCAGCTGTTCAGGGCCTTAATTTGCCAGTTTGGGTGTCACTTGTGTGTGTGCACACATCTGTGTGTAGGCTTTAGACCCTTCCTCTCTGGAATGGAGACTAATGAATTCACAGCTGCAGGCCTACTGTTGTGGAGAAACTTGTTAACAGTTCCCTTACTGTGTTTGAGTTTGTTTGTATGTTTGTGTGTATTTGTTATAATGTGTTTATCTGGGTCAATCTTATTCTCTTTTAGCAGCTGGCCTACATTGGCTTGGGTATCTAGCACTGGCTTTGACCACGGAGGAATCAACATTTCCTCCACAGCCCCCATATATCTTCCTCATTGAAAATCATCACCATGTCTTCCCATTTCTTGGAATGAAGCAAGAGAAGATATTTCCAAATAACGATAGCAGCAGCAGTGTAGAAGGTCTGATTTAATGAGGCATGCCGCTATAGTCATGTGGGGTGGAGGTACAATGCTGTGCAAATGTCAGAAGCTACCTCTGCATTTATTTAATTTGTGAAAACAGCCATTGAGTACAAGTTACTCATTTTTCTATGTCAGATAAAAAAGCAGGAAGCCTATTTAACATAAAATTACTCAGAATCCTTCAACACCAAGTATATTATCAAATCCCTCAGTGTGTAATTTGTCCACTCTGTACTTTTGTTCACCCTACACTGCCACTTCAACTATCCCAAACTTAAAGCAAATGAGTTACAACTGTGTCTTCCCAGCAAAAGCTGTTCCCAAAGTTGTCACTGACATTATGCTCCTCTACCGGAACAAACCTTAGCTGCCATGCAGATATTTCTGAGGAGATTAGATATAACACAATCCATTTGCATAAAGACAAGGAAGTCAAAGGAAAACAAGTTAAAAAACAGAAGTCTATAAAACTGTGTTAAAAAACTGATTAAAAGATGTAGAGAAATTTAAACTCTTAACAACCGTTCAAGACCTGGTAGACCAAAATTGTCACCATCAGACAAACAGTGCTTAAAGCTTTCATCTTCGACAGAGAGGAGAAAATCAAGCTCCACTCTTGTGAAGGTGTTTCTGTCCATCCTTTTACTGTGAGAAGACCACTCAGTGGGTCTGAGAGGATGTGTAGCTTTTAAGAAGCCATTAATGAGAAAAGGAAATAGACAAAAAAAGAAGAAATTTGCACTAGAACTCCAAAACTGGGCATCTGACAAGGTTTATAGACTTATAGAGGTCTTAAGGTTTTATAGACTGAGGAGTCTAAATTTGTGATTGAGATTACTTGAATTGTGAGAAGCAGAGAATTCAACCAACTTCTAAGACTGAACTTTGGAAGTGTTTACAAACTGCATAGAAAAATATTCCTGTAGGTGTCTTTGAAAAATTTAAGGCAAGGGTACTGAAAAGAATGATAGTTGTAATAAAGGCAAAGATTGGACACAGTAAATACTGAAAAATTATATTGCGTTTAATTTTTGAGGTTCCTGTGTAATGTTAAATATTTCAGTGTCTGTTAAATATATTTTCCTGATGCTGAAAAATGAAGAACTTGTACATAGTTCATTCCATAGAAGGTGAGATTCTATACAACTCTTCAATTAGCCCGGTTTTTCTGGTCATTTTAATTGCATTGACAGATTGCAAAAATCAATCAGTCTGTTCTGGGGGAAAAGGGGCTGTCTCAAATACAAATCATTCATTTTCATGTAATGACTCAAATAACCTTAGAAGGTGACCTCGATGAGGTGGCATTTACTCAGGTGTTACAGTCTTCTTTCATTGTGCAAAGTTCTTTCAGGCATGCAGACATTTCTCAGTCTCACATTACTACACCCATAAGTCATCTAATAGTATTTGTTGAAATGCATTTAGTTTTATTGTTGTAATTTAGCCTTTTCTGCAGTGTGTTGTGATTTGGAGATTTCAACTGAGTTCTGCAAACTGCCCACTGATCATAAAGACCGTTCACTGTATTTCACTAACCTCATCTACACCTTCATTTGCCTAATTAGTTACCAGCTGTAGTTTGAGGTGTAATTGATTGTGTGCATCATGGTTGATTTGCAACTTAACCAAGCTAATAATTTGGTATTGATTGCCCCATTAAATAAAAAAAACAGAAGGCTGAGCTCTGCCACTTCTTATTGGGCCTGCATTTTCTCCCTTGCTTTTAATGCAGTTTAATTATATTAGATGTCACAGTATTACTGCAGAACTATGTAATGATGAACTGCATGCTTCACCTGAGCTTTAAATATCATACATCATGCTTCTGGTGAAATCACATTAATAGAAACCTAACTCATAGTGTTGTAGCTGGAGAACAGAGCAGCATCTGCCTTACCTAAACCTCATCTAAACCTCACCTCATCTTAGTATCAGAAGACCAGATCTAAGAGAGTGAACCTGAGTGAGAATCTTGATGAAAGGGAGCCATTACAAAATTAGGGGAACTTTCAAGTGTCCTCTAAGTTCTTGTAATAGCCCACATACAGAGTTTGGGAAACCTAAGAGTTCATTTTAGGTTCGGTCTCCTCGGCTCGCGGTTTTGTTCAGTCATGATTATCAGCTCCCATTAAGGCCTATCAGCTGTGACACACGGAGAGCAGAGCACTTAGCACCTGGCACTTCCTCTCTTTCTCCGTGAGGAGATTGACAGGCAGCTTCCTTCAGAATGAGCTGTGATTGAGCTAACTGCTGGGTGTCGTAATATGGGTGCAGTGGGACTGCAGGAGTGCTGAATAAAGATGGAGATGTCGTGCCTCCCCTCACCTCTAATAAGATCAGCCTGGATATTAAAACTCCTCCGCCTCAAAGTGCATCTCACAGAGGTGGAAGTGGCCTGTACTTAAAGAGTTTTAAGCAGCACAGGCCAAGCCATCACATTCTGTCAGGAACTTTTTAGCAGCATCCCTCTACCCCATTGCCTACGCCCCCATTGAAGGCTAGTGCAATTTTATCTGAACAGAAAATGGGCTATTTTCTGGAGAGGTGTGAATAATGCCAGATATGCTTTTTTCCCTCTGTGTTTAGCCATGTGTGCCGTGCTGCTACGAAGGCCATGTCTGTGAATAGTGTTGGCTAAGGAGCTCCAGTGAAGAGAGTCCCTCTGAATATATATCCCTGTGACTGCTATTAAATCATCAAGCTTTTTCAAGTGCAAAGTGCTTTGCTGCATGGGCTGTCAGGGAACTTACATTGGGCTCATTCCAGTTTCTCCTCCCTGCATTTCCCAATTACCCAATATTTATCGGGCGTTAAATTAAGTTTTTCTACTCTTTCACATATGGTTCATTATCAAAAGGTCAGAGACTGGTAATATTTTCAGAAATTATTCATGTCCAACTCTTTTGTCCTCTTCCTCAGGTGCCTTCTAGAGGCCCACCTTGGCAGCTAGAAGAGAGGTTGGCCTTCGTCACCATGACAGCGTTGCCACGGGACGTGACTTCCCTGGCTGTGTCTGGCCTTTTCTTCTGTTTCCTTGTACTCTGCGTCCCTGCTGTGCTATCCCAGAGGCTCCTTGTTCCTACTGAGCCTGTCCCAACTCCAGCACCGCAGAGCAGACCAGAGTGTACTCGCCGAGAACACCCCATCATCCCCATTCAAGGTGAGCGCTGCATCCAAACACTAGCAAGCAGTTAAGCTACAGACGTTATTGCTCAGTTCTGATTTTTTTGCTCAGATCTGCTCTTTCTGCCTTGACAGTTCACATGTGCATTTGTAAGTGAGCCATATCTGAGTGACAGCTTTGTAGGAATCAGACGCTCACAGAGCAGGCTGTGGTTAAAATGTTTAATAAAGGATAATACAAAAAACAGGCAAAGAGTCATACACAGGCAAATGGGGCAATACAGGCTAAGCTAAATCAGAGTGAAAGACACAAGCAAAAGGTCACAACACAAAAGAGGAAAACAGAGTCAAAAAGAGGTCTGGCTAGAATCGTAAACGAGAAAAACAAGTGAGAAAACAAACCAGGAAGTCAAACACTGGAGCAAAAGGCTCGGTAACGCATAGGAGACTGATACAATACTTTGCAAGGAGGCTATGGAAAGAAACAGGTTATATGGGCACATGAACAGGTGACAACAATCAATAATCATGTGAACTGGAGCATTGATAGGTAGATGGCTGAGAGTCTGTGGTCATGTGATCCCTGAGGATTCTGGGAGTTGAAGTTCTGGAGGGAGCGAGAGGTGTTAGTCTCTGCTGAGCCGACAGGAGGGCATGACAATCTGCTATTAGTGTGAACACACTTTTGTCCACATGGGCACATTTTTGAAACTAATAACAAGGACTAGGCCAAAATTTTTGACTAGACGGTAATATCAGCCATTATTTACGACCTGCAATATCTGTATCGACTAATGAGTGCTGACTTTTTGCTATCTCCTGATGATAGGGCTAAACCTTAGAGAACTGTGGGCAACTTAGTATGAAGAACTCTCTTTTTAATTACATAGGAGCAATACAGTCTGATCTGGTGAGTGTGAACACAAAACAACATCATGGTAAATAATAAAAAATATAAAATGCATCCAAACCCAACTTTTATCAAGAGAAGAGTGTAACACATAAAGAGAACTGGTGAAAAATAACTGCTGATAAACATAAACACAAAAACACAGAGCATTCTGGGAAGTTCTGCCCCAGGGCTACAGTATATTATTTAACCAAGTTTCTACTTTTTAGTTGAGTTTAAGGAGTGTGATAATTGAGAAGTCACAGTCAGGTCTGTCAGTAAAGTACTGGAGTATAAAATTAAAATCTAAACTGTAAATATAAAATTATACTGGCCAATATTATTGGTTATCAGAATTTTAACCCCTCCACAATCAGCATAATAATACAGTTAATACACTTTTACTTTTTAAAGGTATTTTTTAAATACCTTTGTGTGATGACAATAATGACGTGCAGTGAAGTGCAATATGAAGAAAACATGCATTCTGATCATATCATACATATTTATCCACATATAAATGTGACTTCTCGATCTGAGTTCACACATCAAATCTGTGTAGAATTTAAAAAGAATTTCAAAATCTAATGTAAAGGGGAATTCAAATTTTTTGCATCATTCTGCCAACAAAAGATATAACTAACTAAACAAATTAAATAGTCATAGTTAAATGGTCATTCAGAGTGGTTTGATATGAAATTGTGGAGAATCTTACTAACTCAGATTTCTTTACAGTGGTAGTGATAGAAACCAGGGATTGTGATGTCTACAATGCCAGTTTTAGTTACTATCCAAAACAATCAGTGAACCTACACAGAGTTTTATATATAACAGTAAATAAGTAAATCTAAAAAAAAAAAGTTTTCCTTGCGTATCATTTTGCCTTCAAACAACCTATATGTACCTCTCCACCATGTTAAACTACATTTTAGAGCACAACCTTATCTACTATGTACTATTTTAAAACAGCGTCTACAGTGTCATGAACACTGAACTCTTTAGACATCTGGTTCCTATCACCATCAATATGAACAATGCTGACTTGCTAAGTTTCTCTAGAACAGAGAATTTCACATCAAATCAGTCTTAATAACTTTGTTTACATTTTAACTATTTTATTTGAAAAATCAGGGGAATTTCCCTTAAAGCCTCTACGACCCTCTAATGTTCCCAAGGCCTTAGTTATATCCCACGTTTATTCTGTGCCACAGACAAATACAATTCTCTATTATTCATGTACAGATAGTTGTAACCCTGTTCATTACCTTGACAACAGTGAAGCATTTTCTTCAACTGTGGCACGGCAAAATTCAAAAGCACATGAGTTTTTCATTTAGTTCATGTTAATTATCATGTCTCAGACTTATCCTGTGGTGCTCTTATACTGCAGGAGCAGGCTCAGTACACACTCACACAATAATTGTAATGATGACTGCACACACACTGCTTGTGACAGGCTTTTATTGAAACGCGTCATGTCCCTTTAAGAACCCAGTGACCGGCTTAGTGAGGCAGGGGCACTGCTGGCTTGCTGCTTTCCATAAAGGCAGCACTGCACTGTCCTGGGAGAGAACAGAGGGGTCTAGCTCAGACTGCTCTAGCTCTGTAATGTTTCTCCGTCAGACTACTCCACACGCCCAACCCCAGCCAAGCAAAGACGGCGTGTGCTGATGCTGGCAAGCGCTGATGGACATGCTGAGTTCTGTGGGAGATAAATGGCTTTCATTTCTTAAAGATTTCTCACCCCCTGCATGCTACCGCACGAAGAGAACAGAACGTGCAGTTACACTCCTCTGTCTCCTAGAGAATCTCTTCAGCAGCCCAAAAAACAAGATATGCTTGGTGCCAAGCAATCAGAGAGATCTGTTTAAACGGCAGATATAGATATGTACCCGGAGTGAAGGGTGAACCGCTGGCTATTGCCTTGTTTGTATCAAGGGCAAAAAATGTTTTTGTTTGACTCTCTGAGGGGCATGACAAAAATTGCAGAAAAATGGTCTATAGGAAAAAAAAGAAGTGACAGCCACAGGCTTTGATATTACTGGAAATCGTCCCAGACATTAGAGCAGCCATGGTTCATAAGGACATTGCCTTGGGCCTGCACTTTTTATTGCTACTGAGAAGACTTGAGGGTTGTTTTTGGAGGTGCCAGGTTTCTGTCCTGTTTATCAAAATGAGGAGATTTTTCAGGAGCACTGAGACAGTTCTGGAATTAGTCATTATTCACCAGAGTTAGAAAACACTGCTATTTGTTAGGATGCAATGCATTACAAAACATGAGAAGCAAGCTGATCTCTTTCATTTGTTTCCCACTCTCACCTGCTCATAGGAATGGCAACTATTCTTTCCCCGTATGGTATTCAGTTCGGCTTTGTCACGGCCGCTCCTCAAAGCCAAAAGCACTTTTGGTATTGCTTTCATGATAAGAGCAGCTGAACAATTGGCTTTGTATTGTAAGCTAGCACCTAAAAATGCCCCTTTCTGTTAACCCAATTGTAGAGAAATCTCTCAGTACACCTTAAAGCCCTCTTTTATGCTCGAGCAGTGGTATGGAAGTCCTAGTACAATGAAGGTGTCGGCTAAACCTGAGATTAGCTTCTTTGATGGATGAACGTTTTTTTAAGTGGAGCACTCACGCAGCCAGTATGAGGAGTCACCTGCAAGAGCATAGGGGCCCAGGCTCTAATCTCTGGGCTGGTCTGTGGATAGATCGTGCATGCTTTTGAAGGCATGTGAAGCTTAGCCATAGAGAGGTTGCTGGTTGAGTGCACTGGGGTGTGGCGGCCTCAGTGGGAGCCTTTTTTACTCTCTTAAAGCTTTCCGGTAGGCCCAGAGGCTCATGGTGTGGCCCTAACAACCTGTTGCATAATTCTAAGTGTGTAAAATGGGATACAGCTTAAAATGACATTAACCCAATATGCAGAAACACATTTTAGTTTGTTTCTCCATTTCTGGAAGGACCTGTTTTAATCATAGAATGCTGAAGGTCTTTATCTATCTATCTATCTATCTGTCTCTCTATCTATCCGTCCGTCCGTCCGTCCGTCCACCCAGGAATGTTTTGATGATATTCTGAACCATAGAGAGTGATGAAATACTTAAAATCCTTGCAGTTCCTCATTGTTGATCTTAAATTGTTAGATTATTTACTGATACATTTAGGTGAACTTTGACCCATCCTTGCTCAGAAAGAACTAGGCCTTTCCTGGATGCTCCTTTTCTCTCCAAGCATGATCTCCTAAGATGCTTTTTAAACACTTCACAATGTTCCTAGTCTTAATCGTCCTTGTCCCAATTTTTGGAGCATTTTTCTGTTGCAGGTAATAATTTACAATGAGAAAATATGAGAGCACAAAAAAAAAAAAAGTGAAACAATACTTTGTCTTTGTACTGTTAGGTATTCAAATCACTGTTTTCTGTTGTTATTAGCATTTCACATACTCTTGCAATAATTTTGGAATTGAGGTTTGTATTTATTCATTCAGTAACAAAAACCACTCCAATTAAAGTACAGAGGCAACCTGACTGGATACTGATGATGCAGTTTAAGTTTGTAATGTGCACCAAAGATTCAGAATGCTTTCTTTCTTTTTATACATATCTATTAGTATCTTGATATACAGTACGTGACCAGAATCTGCTTTTATGCCAGCCATATCTGTCTGTATAAAAGCACTGATAACACACATATCTCACATAGCTAAGCCATTGATATTGGAAAATCATGTAGATACAGTGTTTTTTCACTACAGTAGGTGCCATATCATCTCTCTTCACTGTTCAGATTCCGGTCCAGTATACTCTCATGTCTGAGCTTGCACATTCACATTAGATCCTATGAGACCAGAGTAGCGGCATGTCATTGCAAAGCAGTGTGAGCAGAGCTAAAAAAATTGCAAACTGCAGCGAATAGATGATTCAAGTCTCATTCAACAAATGCTACCATTAAATGCAATCAAAGTCAAACTCCCTGAGAAAGTGGGCCTATTACTGCCCACACAGGTGTTAAATTTCATGCAGTTTTCAGGGCTAATTCTGAATTACATACCATGCCAACTGACAGAGCAACGCCAGTCGTCTTGTGCACAGATCTGGCCCCCTAGATTTTTATCCTTTCAGACCTGTCCTTCTTAGCCAAAATGGCAGTA